AAATTAAAAAATTAAAATATAATAAAAATAAATAGATATTAGAAGAACTAAAATAAAAAGAATTTGATACAGTATTTTCAACGTTAAAACTGATTAAAATTTTAAAAAAATCATACATCATTTTAAGTACAAAACAACATACATCTTTTTAGGTATAAAAACAATATGAATATACTGTAAAGATAATTTTTATTTTATAAACTTGAAAAATTTGTAAAACGTTCACATAAAAGGATAAGTGATTAAAATTATAGATAAATAACATGAAAAAATTCTAAAAGAATAGAAATCAAATGACGATGAATGTTTAAGGCGATGTAAGAAAGTGATTAAAATGAGGATTGTGAAGTAGAAAATATGATTAGATAGTGAAAAAATTGATATTTGCTGAAAGATATGAACAACTTCACTACAAAGATATGAAAATCAATATATAGTCTTCGTATGTTATATGTGAGCAAAGAGAATGTGAAAAGAGAATAGATTTAGGAAGAAGAACAAGTGTGTTTTAGAAGATGTAGAAAGTTAAATGAGGTACACAAGTGTTTTACAGCTCAAAAATATGTAGGCAAGAGATTCATATAAAATTTTCATATTCTTTTTACTATGTGAAATGAATGGTATTTTATAAAAAATACTCTACCTATATTAGTAGAATAGGTTATCGGATTTAAAACAGGCTAAATTTTGTTTGGTTTTACCAGTGTGGTAGATTGGATAGAAAAAACATTTTTAAGTTGATAAAAAATTTTTCTTATAACATGTTGTATTTGCTTTAATTGGTAAAGCGTACTCGCGGAATCTGCTATGATTGCATAGAATTATCTTATAAAATTCAACTTATTATATTTTTTTTTTATGATTTGTTTTTGACATATTAAAAATAATATCCCACGCAACGTGTGTATAAATCTAGTTAGAATAACTAGACTCTATCTTTTTATTTAAAAAATAATTAGACTCTTTTTTCTTGTGTGCAACACCTTTACTTCATTAATTAAGCTTCCAAAATATAAACAGAAGAAATTAAGCATCCTCTTGAATTATTACAACAAAAGTTTAAACCAATAACGCATAGAGCATATGGATCATTTTGAAAAATAGACAGCGGATCTGAGGTAAATCTCAAATGCATCAAAAAGTTTTCACGTCAAAGACAAAGAACATGAAGTCACTTTGAAATATAACTTTAAAATCGAACCTACTTTAAAAATTCGTCGAAACGAGCCTTGTTGCTTCTTCTAATCCGTATTAACCATTACGCAAGAAGACAAGACAGTAAAAATTTTTTTATAGGTTTCCGGCGATAAGCTCGGAAAAACAATCCCTCTCAAAGGTAGGAGTATGAAGGACATACTCTCTTAATAGCATAATTTAAACTTCACCTCGCTCGAAATGTTGATTAAGGATACGGTTTGAATACTTTCTCGGGTTAATTCAAAATGTTGATTTTAAATTATGTTACTTTTAGAAACTTAACCAAACTCTATAGTTACGCATGCCACTAGTTTTTATTTAAACTTTTTCTTTGGCTTAAGAGTATATTCATAAGTTTAAGCCACTTCTTTTCTAGTTCGAACATCTTGAATTCGAGACCATATTAATTAAAACAACTAAATTTTTACCTCGTGCATTGTACGAAATTTTAATTTTAACTGCTAGCGATACGAAGGATTGAATATAGATATGATATTTTTGTTTTAAAAGACAATTT